GCGTCCCTCGGTCAATAAATCCCATAGAAACCTCGACCTCGGTGTATAGACCCTATAGGGCGCTAACTTCTAGAAGCAATTATAGATACCGTATATGAGACACTATTAGTAATCTTCCGTATCCTATCCGCATTCTTTAATGAAAAAATTTCGAAATTCTCCTGCTGGACGGCAAAACCAGGCAAAATCAATGGATAGGAGGCCAAAAGCAGCCTTTGTGGACAAGTGGCTTCAAGTGCAATGAAGCTTTTTCTCAGGAGACATTCTGGGCTCTATTCTTCACTGTTACTGGCATTTATTGCCACTCAAACAAGCTCTGGAAGCCACGAAGGCCTCTTGTTCCTTGTTTCCCCATGTAGCTACACGGTATCTTGCCGTCCAAATCATGAGTGTGGGTGGATACCGTAATGCAATAATTACTTGCAGAACTTAGCGCCCTATAGGGTCTATAACCAGGGCCGTAGCCAGGAACTTGAAACAGGGGGTTCGGAAATTGCTGCGCGCGAAGCGCGCAGCAAGAATTTTAACAGAATGGGCGTGGTTGGTAGGCGTGGTCTTGAGCTACGCATCTCAGCCATGTGCTGACTCAGCTAAAATGGCTATCTGTGCTTCTCGCTGCTGCCAAAATGCTAATCCTGCTTTTGCAGTGCTGTTCTTCATGACAGGAGCTAATCTAAAACTTTTTTGCAGCTACAACAGGGGGTTCGTCCGAACCCCCCGAACCCCCCCTGGCTACGGGCCTGATAACCTATACATATACGACTGTCTTATATCTATGGTGTAATGGAGACACACATTGACTTTGAGAGACTATTAGAAGAAGTAAATAATCCAAAAACTATCTCTTTATATATCTCCATCAGTTAGGATCAGAAGTAACCAATCTTCCTGATATATCACAAGGTATACAGTCACGTGACACTACTCACTGATCACGTGATCACAGGTTGGTCTGATGGTTTGAGATGAGCAATAGATCATCAAGCAATGAGTCTGTCTCAGTCTCCAGAGACGTTTGGTACATGGCTACTGATTAATAAACTAAAAGAAACAAATGATGTAATACTGATGTAATTAATGTATTATTAATATTGTTACTATTATTAGGATAAGGTGATTGATGGAGTAATTAGTGTGGGTGTGGTTTTACAAGATTTGATGTATATTAATCATCAAAATTTAATTGAATTACTAATTAAAGTAATAATAATAATTATTATTATTATTAATTCTCTCAGTATAATTCATTTATTAGTTTATACAGTATATTTAAATTACATATAGCTGGACTAGTATTAATTCATGAAATATTGTCCAAGTAAATATTATGTATAATCATAGATATTATAGACTACGTTACGTAGTCTATAATATCTATGCTATAATCAATAACATACTT